CCCCATACTCGCTACTGTTTGCGGGCCCCCCGTAGGGCGTGGCACCGTACCTCCCCGGTGCATCACGTTTGCATGCCCGTGCGGGGGTCGCCATTGCTGCTGCTGCGGGTGAGGGGGGGGAGGGTTTCCATACCTTTGCTGCGCTCCCCGTCCGCCATGAGGTCCGTGCTGGGGTCCACCACCCCAGCCCCCCCCACCGCGGCCGCCTTGCTGCTGCTGCTGCTGTTGAGGACGAGGATGGTAGTACTGCTGTTGCNGCTGCTGCGGATGCTGTTGTTGCTGCGGCGGCTGTTGCTGTTGCGATGATTGCTGCCGCCGCTGCTGGTTCCGCTGCTTTCGCTCCTTATCCCGCTGCTGTTGGTGGCACTCCGCGTTGGTGTGGTTTGACCGCGGATCTCGTAGACGACGTATCATACGCAGGCGTGATCGATAATTCGGGTGGCTCGATTCTTTGTGGTTGGAGCTCAAAGCGGGTGGCTCATGGCGGAGCGTGGATGGGTAGAAACGTGTTGCAAAGTATAGTATTAATCGGGGGCGTGCCAGTGCTCGTCAAACCATCACGGCATCTGGTCACGCCTTCACTCTTTGTCACTCAACGAATCTCTCTGAACCTTCACCAAATACCTCTCGCAACCAAGGAATATATGTAGAAATTTCCTATTCTTCCGCATCTCACTCATCACTGGCTTGTAACTTTCGTACGTACGTACATAACATCTCAACCGTCATACTATGCTACGAGTACCCCCAATACATCTAATAGTGGCGAATGACCGCCAGCATCTTCGGGGGCACGCCGAAGCGTCGGAGCACGTCCCACAGTAGGTCTCGGTCCACCGAATCGTATGCCTTGGTGTGGTCGACGAAGCACGCGAACACCGCAAGACTCTCCTTCCTCGCGAGCTCATGGAGCCGCTGGATGGCGAACAGCATGTCGAGCGTCGACCGGTGTGGGCGGAAACCGCTCTGATCCTCCGGGAGGATGCCCTCTCGCTCGCAGTAGTGGCTCAGTCGTGTAGCGACGACCTTAAGCAGCACCTTGCCGGCGTGTGCGACGAGCGAGATGCCCCGGTAGTTGCCGCACTCCATCGTGCCCCCCCTCTTGAACAACACTTTGATGGTGGCATCTTTCCACTGCTGTGGTACGTCCCCAGTCTGCCACATGTCCACGACAATGGCGTGGAATTCGCGGAGGAGACCTTGATCTCCGTCCAGGAAAAAAAGCTTGATCAGCTCAGCCGGTAGGTCGTCCGGCCCGACGGCCTTTCTGTTGGCCATTTCCCGTACCGCTTCCTCAACCTCAAGTAGAGATGGGATGTCGTCGAGTGGCACGCACGTGGGCCCCCGCTTGACCTTGTCAGCCGCATGCAGGTCGATGGTCGGCGACTTGGTGTTGAGAAGCTTGTGGAACCACCGTGCCCACCGTTGGCGAATAAACGTGGGGTCCCGAAGGACCTTGCCGTCCTCGTCCTTGATGTTCTGAGAGGTGAACGACGACCTCTTACCTTCGACGTCGATCATCTTCAGATGCCTGTAGAAACCCGCCTGTGTATATGCGAGATGCACGGGTCACGCTGTGAAAGCGAGACCGATCCAGCATGGTTGACATGAATAGTCTATGCATGTGTGCGTGCGTGTGTTGTCTGCTGTGTGTCTCAATTGCGATGTGCCGTGTGTGCGTGCGTGCGTTGTCTGTTGTGTCTCAATCGCGATGTGTTTCTTTGCCTGAACTACTGCTGTAGCGGCAGCGGTCACGCTTACCAGCCGACCAAGCCGACCAATCAATGTAGTAAGAAAACGTCAGGCTTCAGCGGGATGAGCCGATGAAATACAACGCGAGCACTCTTTCTTCTCTCTATCGACAGGGAGGGTGATCGNAATGAAATACAACGCGAGTGTGGAGAACACCTTCATAAAGGTTGGAACTCCCCACTTCTGTCGAGGACGAAACCCTCTTTTCCACACTGGCGTCGACGAAGAGATGTCAGTTGACTACTTTTGGTTGCAAAAGACACGGGTTCAAAACCCGCTGCTCACCTAATTTTCTTCCGGAGTACGGAAAAAGAAAAACGGTGGGTGGGCCAAGAAACGATGCACTGTCTATCGAACTCCATACTTCTGGCAATGCGTGGCGGAAGAGGCGCACCCGCAACACGCACAGAAATTGTTGGAAAAAAGGTGGTTCTACTCGCCGCCAGCCGGTCGGGTTCCGGTTACCCCAAGAAGACTTCTCTTGCCTCGCAAACAAGAAGAAGCCTCGAAAAAGGGGGGGGTAATGTGGAGAACACCTTCATAAAGGTTGAAACTCCCCAACGTCTGTTGAGGACGAAACCCTCTTTTCCACACGAGCACTCTTTTTCTTCTCTCTATCGACAGGGAGGGTGATCGAGTTGCACGACACAACAGTATCCTGCTGCTAGAGTAAGGATAAGACTTCATGTGTGCTTGATTGATGACAAGGGCGAGAGTCTGTGTGTGCTTGTCCTGCCTCTGCCCTCCACCCTCGTTGCGGGCGTGAGCTCGCCGCCAGCACAGCGCCACACACTGGCACGTGCTATGCATGTCAACCATGCTGGATCGGTCTCGCTTTCACAGCGTGACCCGTGCGTCTCGCATATAGTCAGTCGCTCCACAGGGTATGGTAAGCGCGTGTGCATGTTTCCAAACGGAACAGAGTTGTGCTGGGGTATTGCCCGGCGGCCATTGTTGATTTTGACCGGAAGAGTTGACGGTGGGTGTTGTTCGCAAGGGCGGAAACTGATTCCTGCCCCATTGCCATGGTTGTTATTGGGCGGGAAGAGTCGCCGTTTGATATCCCATGGTTGGAGGGGGAAAAGAGTTGGGAAGATTTCTGCGGGGGAAATGAATGATGGAAGGGTCCAATTTCCCGACAGATCAAGGTACATTTCCGAAAACAGGGTATAGGTATTGAGAAAAGTAGTCACGGCAGGGTATACCCTGCGCCTTTTCGGACGCACCGGGATGAAATTGGGCGCTGACCAATGATATGAGTGTATTTATTTACTGCTGTTAATGACTGTGTACCCAGGTGTGTCGCTTTTCGACCAGGGTATATATACCCTGGTTGTGTCGTATTCCCTATAATATTTGTGAATGCCACCTCAGACTGTCGTAGATTGTGACGTCAGATGACCTGTCGGAGATCTACCTTCGGGGTGTTACCACAGACAGAGTCAGTGCAGGTTGAATGCTGAACCTTGCTTCAACACAAGGTTGATCCCCACCTGCCACACACACACTCAACTCAACGTTTCGTACATCAGCCTCTCCACCAGAGAGGTTGATCCGGTGTGTATCCACACCGCCCATCCCTAAGGGAGCTTGCTCACACGCGAACCTGGAGACAACAGTCTCATAATATATATGTTAGTAAACTTGATCGACTTCATTCATAGTCTAAGTCGCGAGGGAAGGGATTGCTGTACCGCCCCCTTCTCGCGATGAAAGTATCTCAGGCAGGAACCGCAGGAGGGGGTCCAACCCCCACCTCCTATGTGACCCCGGTTGGGTCGTCTAGCTGGTAGAAGTGGAGGGAGCATAGGGGCCAGAGGGGCACATTCGATAAAGTTACACCATTAGACTAGTCAGCGTTACACCATTAGACTAGACTAGATAGTCAGCGCTGACCAGTCTTCTAGTCTATTATAGAACTAATGGTGTAACTTTATCGAATTAAAGTTATCCTCAGAGCTCATTTGCACCCGTCTGGATCACTTGGGTTTGTGAGTGAGTAGAGATCTCCGGGGACGGACCCCTCGCCAAACGCTGCCTGAGAAGAACTAGACTAATGGTGCTTGGGAAAGTGAGCAGCCGGGATTCGAACCCGTACGTGCATCCTTCAGCGCTAGTCTAGACTTCTAGTCTAATGGTGTAACTTTATCTTATATATCTAGTCTATAGACCTAGTCTATAAACCAGATATAGTCTATAGTCTATGCTCGGAGCTCATTTGCACCACAGTCGTTTCGAACCCGTAGTGATTATAGTGCTGATGCTGGTGGATTCGGCGAAAGGCACCGTGTTTTGTTGTGCACGTATCAAATCAAACCTCAAAGCTGAGATGAATGGTCTTGCATTGAAGTAGTGTAGGAGGGACTCGCCCTCGACCGACTTCTACCGTAGACCATTACCCCCCCCTTGTAGCCTCTTTGGTTGGGACATGTAGGCAACAAGGCTTGTAGGGGTAGCAGGAACCCGACCGACCGGTGAGGAGTCGATTCGCATAATTGCAGTCTCTGTGCGACGCCAATAATCAATGTGAAAAGAGGGAATCAATCGTCCTCGACAGGCGTTGAGGAGAGTGTGCCCTCTATGAAGGGGATCTCTACAGATCAATATACATGTAAATATATGAACGGCGCCCGAATGTAGTCAAAATGATTGCAATAGATGGCGTATGGTGATGACACGTTGTGTTTGTCCCCAATCTTTGCTTGCTTGCAAAACCGCCTTGTAGCATCGCATGCATTCACACTGTTCTTGGTCCCGAATTTTTCGCATGCAACCGCATCGCATCTGTGCATGCACAACCGCATCCAGCCCGTCGCATCGCATCACATTGTACGATATTCTTCCAAAACTTTACGTGGGGTTGACAAGCTTCACGCCGGGATCATGGTGCCCTCCGCCCGACACAACAAGCGAAAACAGAACCTAAACCGGGGACAGAAAAACAGCTGAAAGCGCACAAAGAGGTAAAAATCTCCTCACTGTAGAACATCGGTCGAGGGCGATTCTCTCTTACACTATGTAGATCAAGGCATCTTGCACTATGTAGATAAATGAATAGACCATTCATGTCAGCTTTGAGTTTTGCTTCGATACTTTGTACCACAAAGGTGGTGCCTGTTCCCCGAATCCACTATTTAGCATCAGCACTACTACCACTACCCTACGGGTTCGAATACTGTATGTGGTGCAGTGCAGTTTAGCGGCACCCAGTAAGGGGGGCCAAGCGCATCGAATTCGCGGTCGCTGTCGTCCAAGATACGAAAGTAGGCGCTCCCAACATTGCCAAAGCCAGGGCGATCCCAACCCTCGCCATAGAACCAGTATCACGACGGCGTGTACACACTCATCCATCTCCTCGATCCTTTTCTATCAACCCACCTAGTGTCTTGAGGTTCTACCTCTATCAAGTGACCCCTTCGTGAGAGCGAGCGCCGAGTCACTATTTTCTACACTACATACTTGTTATAGTCGAAGTAGATGTACTACTTGTACCAGTTTTCCTTCCACCGACACGACGTGCCAGAAGACGCCGACTCTTCATTTGCGCTCATCACATGTGAAGAAGTCGCCGGCTTAGAGAAGATGGAGGGGGCGGGGTGGGGGGGGGNGGGGGGGGGGGGGGGGGGGGGGGGGGGGGGGGGGGGGGGGGGGGGGGGGGGGGGGGGCGGGGCGTTGACGTGCATGGGGCGGAATAGATTTTAAGTTGGGAGTAAAAATGGATCATCAGAAGAATACATTGTAGTTGACACACGCAACCGCAGCTCAACAACCGTCATTATCGGGTAGGCATTCCATCGGGCTGTTCAAAGCACACGGAACCTTGGCAACCAGAAGCAGTCACCGGCACGTCTTATTCTCGTGGCAGGACAATCGCTAGCCAACCGTGAGCAGTGTCCCCGACCCTTCCCAATGCAGTCGTACAGACGAAAATCGAACGTGGCCGGTTCGACAGAGTTTGTGCTGGTAGACCACGATTCGGCAAGGAGCTACACAACATGGTGGGCCTCAACGCCGGCTTGAACTAGAACTTGAACAGTTTCAAGCAATTGAGGTTGAGTTTCCACCATCAGACAAATGTTCATCCGCACCCTGAAATGTGTGCTTACAGATAGTACTGCTTCTACGCCCTTCGCGGGTATGTGCACGAAGTTCCGCAGAGCATCGAATAACGTCATTTTTCCAAGTTTGTAATGAACACAAGCAGTTTTATGGGTCAGGGTTAGGTTCGCACGGTCCGACAGAGTGCCTCGGCGATGGTGTTGCCTGGGCGAGCAAGAGAAAACAAGTAGATAGGAGCTGCTTCCATTCTGCAATACCACCCGCAGGTGCGCATACGCGACGAGGAATACCCTGAACCACACAGTGTTCTTGAGCCGCCAGTACAACAGGAGCTTCCGGCGCCAAAAGGAAAGTTTATGTACAATTTGTGCAGCGAAAAGTTACCTTATTCTTTCCTGCAGGTCTCTGTCGCCTTGCAGCTTCCGCAGTAGCTCTCCATTCATCTTGCGCTCCGTGTCCGTCATCTGAACACTCCGAAGAGCGGCCCTGGTCTCCCTCATCTGAGATTGCAAGGAGAAAGGAATCCACCTCCCGCTGTTCACCCCGCTGAAGAACAGAACCCAAACTTTCACGAGATGTGTTCCATCTATACAAAACCCATAACTTCCTAGGAGTGGTGTATCGAGGAGTTGCATTCCAAGATAATTGAAACCCTACCGAGAATTACGACGTCGTTGTTTCCCCAACATTAACTCTGGTGGTTACTTGGCTATCGCAGAGGCTTTGTATCACGGAGGCTCTCAGTCTCATAAGGAGTTCTTCTGTCCACAATCTTTTCGAACGTGATAACGGATACGAGGGAGAACACGACGGGTCAAAACGCACCTGTTCTTCTAGCATTCGGGCGTACGCTTTTTTCTCGCGCACCATCTCCCTCTTCCTTTCTAATCCTTTGGCCATGTGCATCTCCCCCTCAATGCGGAACTGCTGGGCGTACTCGGCCTCCAGCTTCTCTTCCGCCTTTCGTGCGAGGTTCCGGGTTGCGTTTCAGCCGGCGGCAACGATGGTAGCGAGCGAGCTGACAGGTTTAGTCGGGAGGCGATGTGGTACGTAGGCCCAATCGGTTTTTCTTCTCCGAGGAAGTTTGTCGGTCACTCCTAGAAAACGTACCGAAGGTGTGAACCGGTGTACCTGCGTCGAGTAAATCTGCGAGCTGAGGGCATTTTTCCAATCTACCATGGGTGTTCGGCTCTCCAGCCTTGTTGTCAAGAGGGCCACTAATCGATTCACTGCAACACACGAGCGAAGTGCACGTGCAGGGGTTCCAGACAGTCCATGACGGAGGGTGGGAGTGGGCTGCAGGGGATTGGGGAGCGGTAATCATTGTGCCGTGGTGGAACTAAAGTTGCTTCAAGCTGGCCAGGTATCAGGTTTGGATATTGACGACTCCGGTTGACAGGCAAGCGGGAGTTTTTCCTAGTACTGCTTGCTTTACTCTTGGATGGCCTCAGTACCGCAAGTGTTAACGATTTCCTTGCAAGAATTTGAACTCCGAAAGCACTGCTTGCACCCCGACGTCCTTGGCATCAGTTCGAACAGGCCAGCAGTTGGATGTTTAGCGTACAAGGAAGCAGGCGGTGCACGTTTATTCCGGATTCGGCCTCAAGTCTGATTGAAAGGGTTCTAGTCTCTGTTTTCGAACTTGGTGCAGTATGTACCCTGTTCTTGGCTATCCTAGATTTTGCCCTCCATGGAAAAGGCGTCTTTTCGCGAGTTATGTGGAGTGCTCTATATTCTTATTTTTCGTGTGACTCTAAAGTAGAACACCCTTGATTCCGGGTAAGCATGTATGCACAGGAAAAAATATTCTCGGCGCGCAAGCGTATTGGGCGGGCGTACCTGTTTTCGTGCAGCTTTGTCGCCCACAAGCCGTTTGTTGTCCTCCAAGCATCGGAGGCGGTCCACCCGAAGCGCTTGCTTGTCCCTCTGACACAAAGGCGTGTGTGTAGGCACGAGCAAGATCGCGACGTCAGGAACGGACCGGAAAGATCAAACCGATGCGTGTACACAAAAACTTGTACCAGTAGGTCGGTAAGACACTTTACAGTAAACAAATGTATTCACGAAACAGGCAGTCCAACTGGGGGGATTTTGCCAAATTTTGGGATGCGGGCACAACCCGGTGCTCTCGTTCTTCGTCGTCGCTCAGAAGGTCTCGGTCTGCACCTGCCGTTTCCCTGATGACGACAACCTCACTACAGGTGTCACCCCTACCACACCAGCGTTAGAACAACAAGTGGATACGAGGTAAAGCGGTGTTTGAAACCGACAACGCGCAATGCTCACCATCTCTCTATCCTCGTCGATCTTTTCTTTTATGGCGGCCTCGGCTAGTATCCTCCTCTCCTCGGCAATGTCTTTGTCGCGTTGCCTCTTGCCAGCGCCGGATTCCGCCCACTGGTTCCCAATCATCTCGTAGCGCTGCAGCCGCTTATTGTGTGCCGCGGTCCGTTGAGCCTGCTCCCTGGTAGAAAAGGCACAACAACAAAAAGCACACGTCGGGGGGTAATCGTGGAGCGTATCTCGCGACGGTGTGGTCATCAGCAACTGCTTTTCGTGTTTTTGGTGGAGGAGGTTATGCCAGACAGTTCTATCCTAGTTTGTTGCCGTTCTTTCGCACTACCTTGAGCGTAGAAAGGACAGACAAATGCCCACGGGACGAGGGAGAAGGAGATGATAGAAAAACAAAAGAGAGAGGCAGAGATAGAGAAGAGAGATCTTCATCTCTTTACATCAAGGGAGGTATGGCATCTGTGACCTATCCTCGGAGACCCTGAAACTCTATTATAATGTCATTTTGTTGAAAACACAACAGCACAAACACTACTTATGTCCATAGCCGTTCGAGGCAGACTTTCGAAACACAGTGTTAGACGCCTGACCGTTGTCTTCACCAACGATAGTGGCTAAGGCTGGTAATCAAAAACGGAGTTCCATGTCGAATGGCTCAAGTGATCAATCCCAACCATTCTGGTTGCGTGAACCATTCTGTTCCTCGATTTTGCATGCCCAAACTCGCAAGGGAAGCTGTTTTAGTTTATTGATAAGCCACATTAGCAACCATGGAGGTCACCCACTGCCAAGCAATCGAGAAGCTCTCCTTTCGCCACAACGTACCTGTCGAGTCTCTCCCGGTACTCCAGCATGAGACGCTTGTCCTCCTCAGCGTCAGCAATTTTCTGCTTCTCTCGCATGGCCAGCTTGGCGACGTTCTCGCGGTTCATCTCTCTCAGCGACTCGGCTATCTGTTTCCGCTTCTGGAGCTGTCAGCACCGATAATGAAATGGAAAGAGGAACTAATCGAGGCCACGGTTCACGACAACGTCGGGTGATCTTTTGATACGCAATAATTTGCCCTATGGTCTTGGCGGCCTACAAAGCCCGCGGAGACACGATTGGAGAGTGAGCACTAGATCGGTTCTGGACTTGTTTTCGATGCACCAACCGTCGACACGAATCAACTGGCGAGGTTATATTCGAAGCAAAGCAGAACACCTCCCCCGCAACGATAAGAATAAATCAGAGGCGCTACGTTACAAGGGTCATATTATCCGTTGGGGAGTAGGAATTGAAAATTGGACAGGCTCGGAAGAAAACCTCTAGGTGCCTATCTACGGGAAAATTGCACACGATTGCATGCTACATTGTAGCACGTGCTTATCAGATCGCCGCCCAATGGTACAATTGTTTTCCTCGACGGTCAACGATGGAAAAAGGGTGTGGAGGGCCATACGTATTTAGTAGGACACCATCCTGCACAACATCGCTCGACAAAACATTGCTCGATGCTTTGCATGTCGTTGAGAACCGTGCTCGACAAAAATAGCCGTCAGCGTGCGCGAAAGAAGCTTGCTCAACGATACGTGCCACCGACCACAGCGTAGCAGGACCTCGTGCAGAACCTTTCTGGCGCCTTAGCATATGTCAAGGTAGATTGCCAACTTTCGTTTAACGACAATACTATCGAAGCTGTCTGTTGAGCGCCAGAGCTTTCTGCCTTGCCAACTCAACGTCTTCAAAACTTGAGATCCAGAGATGGATTGAACGACTGCAGTATCACGGCCTGATGCCTTTTTTTGCCCTTCAAGTGGCTCACATCCAACAAAGTCAACATGCATACCTGCCGTTCTTTTTCCTCAGCCAGCTTTCTCTTGCAATCTTCGAGGATTTTCGCTTCTTCGACTTTTCTATTCTGGCGCTCCCACTCACGTCTCCTCTCGTTCCCTAAGATCTGGGTCGCCCGCACGTACTTCTCTTCCTATCAGGGGTAGAGATCGGGTTGGGGTGGTATTCAGCGTTGGCCCTACATAGGTTGCAGAGACTAACAGATGGGCCAGGCGCAGAGTCAAGAGGTGTGCTTCGGAAGATGGACGCAATAACCTCAACACGGTATGTTTTTGACCAATCGTAAGAGGTCCGAGTTTCCACCACTGTTTCATTGAATGGAAATCACGCATGCGCGTGTGCTGCTGCGTACGGTTGGGAATCAAGCAATCCCCACTGTCAAACATACACCCGATGCTCGCTTCACCTCGAAGTCGTTGAGCTCGTCACATCCATAATATCGGACTGGCCGTAGGTTTTGCCAGAAATTGATTGTTTTAGTTAGTGATTGTTTCAGTAGTTCAATCATTCTGTCTAGTTTTGGCGACTACGAAATGTTGAGGAACCTCGGGACCGCGGATTCTTGGCCTGCCGACATCAGGACATACCAGTGCCTTTCTCCTCGAAGACTCCTTCAGCTCCTCCTGGAGAGCCTGGTGCTCTACTAGTGCCCTTCGCTGTTGCTCTCTTCGAGCGTCGGCCTCGCGCCTTTCTTTTTCTGATCGGGCCAGCTTTTGCTGGATTTGCTCATCCAGGCCTTGCTTGCAACGCTGACGGGCTTCAGGAGAAAGAGACAGGCGGCCACATGTGAATGTCACTGAGTTGAGAAGGAGTGAACAAACGTGTAGTATTGCATACGGGCACGATCTCTCGCCGGGGGGGCGGTGACACTCCTCAGACTGCGAGTTTAATACCAATCTGGATAGCCTACGCATTGCACCTGTTTGCGCCCGCCGGTCCTCCTCGGCCTGCTTTTCGTCTGCCAGTATTTGTTGGTAAGTCTCCAAGATGAGCCACTCGTTCCTGATATTGCTTGGAACACCCATTATTTCCTCGCGATGACTATCAACGCCGTAGTCACGACTATCGCCACCGCGCGATGACAAAACCTTTCTCCGCCAACCCTGCTGCTGAGATCCCAAAGACACACTACCAGCAGTGCTCGGGCGCGGCGCGCTTTCGCTCCTGCGTGGCGTTTGGAGTCTTCCAGGTGTCGCCACCCTCGGAGACCCTCTCGATGATGCAGTGCTCCGACGGGTTGATCCCCCTCTCGATGTAGAGGTGGCCGAGCGAGGCGTTGCCAGTGTTCTTGGATTGTGTGCTTGTTGGTGAAGCTGCCGTCGCGCATCTTTGACCTTCGCGACAGCCCTCACCGCTCGCTCCAGCCGGGACAAATCTCCGGCTTTCACCATTTTGTGACTGTGCATGAAGAGGTCAACCTCCGCTTGGATGAGATGGTTGACCGGATGCGAGTGAGTTCCTTTGCCGGTCTCGCTGTGCGGCAACAAGCGGTATGAAGCACCATGTGCGTCGGTGCTGAGGGAGATGCGTTTTTGCCATTGAGAAGCATGAACATACTAGCATAGTCTAGCCTTAGCTCTCGAATCCGACAATGTACTTGTTTAGGCTCTACATCGTCGGCAATCACTGGGTATATGGTTAGGTAGATTGCATTGTGGATGTTTCGTCACAATTTTTCACTGAGGATGTTCTGAAAATTGGTCTTGTTGCGCTTCGAAACCTCCCGGCCACAGTCAGCTCGGTACCAACTACAGTAGATTACATACACCAGACGACGAAACACGAGGTGATTCTGTTCGTCGAGTTCATGATACAACACATCGTTAGTTTTCCTGACTCGTGTTTCTTGCTTGGCGCGTTTGGTAGAAAAAGTGGACGAGTGTGCCTTGAAGACCATTTACAGCCATAATTTCGACCTCTTGTACCACAATTGTGCGTTGAAGAGATCAGGAAACAAAGTCTTCCTTCGCTTGCGTGCCTCAGTTTAATTTGGTGTACGGATAGCACCCGCTCTAGCTTTGGCCAAGGCTGAGGCTCTTAACCGGGCTCACTAATGGCGCTAAAGTTCTCACGTATTGAGATAAAGGTGAGCATGAAGCTCTTCAGTGTGGGCGCTTTCATCAGTATTTCCTGTATTTCCGTAACGATTTAGGTCTCGTGGCAGTCCCCATCGTTCGTTGCTCCGAGCTTGCTTGGAATTAACCTAGTATGTACCTCGTGTAGACTATATCTTGCCGGTCACCTTCATTGACGTGGCCATACTTGCTGTACAACGTGTCTTGCTCTTGCTACAATTCGCTCCCAACAACACCATTTCCCGCGCGTCGTGCTTTCGTACATGCTGCATAATACCGATAGATGTTCGTGTCCGGCACCATGTAGACTACTAACTGTATGTACTACCGTAAAACAATGTACGTGGTACATACGACAACATGGTCCCTGCAGGCTTCAACTAACTACAAACTCAAAGGACCGTGCCCTTGTCGGTACACACGAATATCTCCAAGTGTTTGCGATGGTAGTCGATCTGCTCCGTCTTGAGGTCTACATAAATCCAAATTTCTTCCCTAGAGCTACTACACATTGTCATGTAGTCTACCGTTGAACGTCGTCTCTGGTCGATAGATCATTCTGTACTTGAAACAGCAATCGATACCGAGCAGTCATTAAAACAGTTGTGACACCAGTCTCAGCTCACTCGTGCCCGTATCTCGCGATGAGTTTCTTGACCAAGAGGTTGTGCAGCTCTGAACGCGCCGCGTTCTTTTCGTCCATCAGGTTGCCTTCGCTGGCCGACATCAGATCGCCAGAGAGTGAGATCCCTTACGTATTGAAGGCGAGTGTGGATAGGACCTTGGACAGGTTGATAGAGAACGTACCGCACACTGCGTCAGGCCTGGGAATATATCAGTTCGCTATAGAGTCAAAAGGCGAAAGGCTCGGCAAAGCGTTCGAATGTCCTGTCTGGTCGATCAAGTCGTCCAGCATCAAAGAACCGGCGGCTCTGTGCTCTGCGCCGGGCCGTGGTTCATTCCCTTGGTATTTCGATCGAACCGGTACCGTTTTGTCCGCACAGCAGACCCGAGGTTGTTTCGCCGCATCCGGGCGAGTGGCGATGTGGCGATGTGGCGATGTGGTTATGGGAGCAGGGAAGGGAGAGGGAGGGAGGGAGGGAGGGGGCAATACAGGAACCGTTCCCACCTTGGTCAGTCATGGGAATAGCAAAAGAGAACAACGACGTGATGCCCTCTAGAACTGAAAAGTAGCGCTGCTGACGCAGTGTCTTNAAGTGTCGAGTGCCTCACCGGGTCATGCGCTGGTCTTCCTGCTTGGTTATCATGCCGGCGCGCTGGTCTCAGTTGCATTGCCACATTCTACCACCCATAGCAGTGCCGATGTCATCTGAACCACAGCAGTGCTTCGCGTCAAGGGCACGAAGAGGCTTGCTTCATCGCTATCCTCGGTGTATGCAAGGCTCGCACGCTTATGGGATTATACCCGCGTTCAACAACCGCAGCAAGCGGCGGGGCAGAGACGATGCAATGGCCACAATGAGCCTGTGGGAGAGTCGAGACGACAGCCATGTCCCTGCGATGCTTGGCGGTGGTGATCATGGTGGGATCTTGAGAAACGTGATCGTGACGGGAGCAAATCGAGGCCTCGGATTTGCTATCGCCGATCGCATGCTGGAGCTGGGCGACTACCATGTCGTTCTCGCTTGCCGCAACGAGCAAGAGGTGCGCATAAGGGCTCTGCTCATCCTACCATATGAATGCTGCTGCTGCTGCGGCGGCTGCAGTCTCTACTGCTGCTGCTGCTGCTGCTCCACTCCTGCTGCTACTCCACTCCTGCTGCTACTAGGATAAATGTTGTACTATACCTCGTAATCGATTTTACACCAGTTTTTCACGAGCTCATGCGTAACGATCGAGACAGCGGAGATGCACCTTTCACCCTGACACTGCCTGCAGTCTCTACTGCTGCTGCTGCTGCTCCACTCCTGCTGCTACTAGCGTAAATGTTGTCCTGTACCTCGTAACCGATTGTACACCAGTCTTTCATGACCTCATGCGTAAAGATCGAGACAGCGGAGATGCACGTTTCACCCTGACACTGCCAAAAGCCACCTTGGCAGATTCGTTCTTGAAACTTGCATCATTTTCCTTCCATACAGGGCCGCGACGCATTGGAGCGACTCCGGGCAAAACAGCAACAGCGCCGGCAGCGCCAACCCTGCACGATCGCAACGGCTTCCTTGGCGTCCTTCTTCCCTATTGACGTCACCTGCCCGAGAAGCGTCGAGGCCTTCCGGGAAGACTGCGTGAATGGGCACCTTGGTGGAAGGGTTGACATCTTGTTCAACAATGCGGGGGTGTGCTTCCCGGAAAAGGACAGGAAAGGGCCACAGAACAGGGCGGCGGCCGCCGGCATTCTTCGGGAAACCCTTGCGGTCAACTTTTTTGGTGCGCTCGAGGTAGTGGAAGCTTGTATGCCGGCGCTTGAAGCGGCGGCACTAATGGTGGCGCAAAAAGAGAAGAAGAAGGCTGGCTTGATGCTGGAAGGTAATGGAATCACATCGACCATGAAGTCGCTGAAGCCACCGACCGTTGTCTGGATTTCCAGTGGGGACGGCGAACTGTGTTTCCTCGGGGGCAAGTGGCGCGGACTGCTCGCGGAAGCCCAGAGTCTTGAGGTGACGGGTGTTCAGTTTGAAGCTTTAAATACAGCAGTGTTCGGGTGGGGTGCTTCGAGAAATTCACCAGAAAGTCTAGCTCCGATGGCGAGCGAAGGCAGTCTACTCGCTTCGAGGCATCCATGAAGTGTTGCTATGAAACTGGGTGCAAACGAAGTCGTCTGTCTCATCGAAAGTACGCTTCCCGTTTGGGTGCAGTTCAACCCAACGTGCATTTCATATGCGCTGTGCTGAGAAGTCTTGCTCCAACGCTTCAACGACTGACCCCGAACCTCCCTCATGGCTCTTCCGAAAACAACAGGACGTAAAGTCGCCCTTGTCGGACCTGTTGGCCGCCGCAACCGACACCATCACAACCACATCAAAGGAGAACAGCACGGCACCAACAGGATCTCAACAAGAGGGAGAACAAGCGCAAGTGGAGGAGATCGCGTTTGGGCCCACACCGGCCTATAGCCTCTCTAAGGCTGCTGTCAACGCCGCCGTCCGCACGTGGGCGCCGTGTATTCAAGCTCCAACGGTGCCAGCAGAAGCATCCGAAAACACCAAGTCCAGGACTGGCGTTCGGGGGAGGGGGGTGCGGCTCGTGGCCGTGTGCCCCGGCGATGTTCTTACTCGCATGACCTCAAAGGTATTTCCACCACCGCCTTACTTAGCGAAAGGTGGAGGGAAGAGTCGGTTTGTTTAGCTCTTCGTATTGCTCACCTAACCAGGCTTCTCGTTAGGTAACCAATTGTTATGGAAAGCACGTATGACCCTGTTCCCAGCTGTCGGCGTTGGTATTAACCCGTTTAACGGTTCAAATTACTGCGTTATGTTTGGTACATGGTTTGATAGGATTATTTCCCAAGCAAAGCGAATAACACAAAGTACAGAATGTACCACCGTACCTTATCACCCTGTCTGTTGTTTATTTGAGCGAAGGAAGAGATGGCAAGAGGAGACGCGGTTTCCCCCGAAGAGGCGGCAGTTGAGGTGGTGGACATCGCGCTTAGTTCGGCCAACGATATCCCGACTGGGAGGTTCTACAGGCATGGAGAGGACATCGGGTGGTAATTGACCAGGGTCTACGTGATGGCGACAGCCGCGTAAGAGGATCGATGGCGAAACACACGCGGCTGCGGGAGGACTCAAAGGCAAGAGAAGTCCACCATGCTGTTCTGCCCCGTGAGAGAATCAATAACCCCATGTGGCTACATGTCGTCCCGACAGAGTGAGTGTTTTCTCGCTAATTAAATCCTGGTCTCGGTTGGAAGCGATGCGCTGCAAAGCTCGTTGTTAGTACACTTGATCGACTTCTTAAGTCGCGATGGAAGGGATTGCTGTATCCTTCTCGCGATAAAAATATCTCAGGCAGGAAACGCAGGAGGGGGTCCCACCCCCCCCCCTCCTGTGACCCCGGTTGGGTCGTCTAGCTGGTAGAAGTGGAGGATAGGGGCCAGAGGGGCAGACGACAGAGTCCAATGGAAGAAAAACAAACGAAAAAAACAAACATGTGCCACAGCCATCGGCGTGGAGTACGCGTGCGATATGTAGCACGGGGGCAAACGAAATTCCTTTCGTCTCCGCTTTGATCCGATTCCTTTCGTCTCTTCTTAGAGCCGGTTCTTTTTCGGCTGGTAATGCCTCTGTTGTGGCGCAACGGGAGCACAACAAAAGCCGTTTGGATAGGGCGGAGTGGATCGCCAACATCCTGCGGGGATCGATTGTCTGACTTGTGTCAAAATTTAGTCTTCGGCAAGGCGGATCCGTATTAGCTCTTCCATCATATTTCGTTTCTTCAGGAAACACGCAACACACAACCCCGACCTCGCACCCCTTATCTGCCCCCCCTACCTCCTCTGACCCTCTCTCCTCTCACACCCGGCTACAATGACCCCCCCCCCTCTTGCGCTGCTGCCCACGTCTCCAGGTCTTCCACCTTGACCACCAGACACCCGGCCACAGACTCCCTCGGTTGCGCCTTAAGCGGGGGATCAAACGCCGTCCTGAGGTGTTCAACCAACACCCGCCCAAGACCGAAACTGCGGTCCGAAAATCGGGCCACTCGCCACCCTCCTCGACCAGCGGCGGCGCCTGAAGCCGCTGTTCCCATTGTCTCCACGGAGGCAGAGCTTGTCGCTGTTGGTTCGGCCCTGGCGCTCCCGGTGCTTGTGGTTGACGTGTCTTCGGCGACGGTAACATCGATAACGATATCACCGTCGCCAGCGCTACCATCGTCGTCGATGACGTCACCAGCCCATGGAGCGGCGGTGTCGGGGGCGGGGGGGGGATTCTTGACAGTCCCCGTGCCGGTCACGAAAATGAGGTCCTCGAGAGGACTGGAGGTAGCTCCGCCGCCTTCGGCGTTGCCACTGCTTTCCCGCCAGACGTCGAGAATTCTTTGCAGGGTGCCTCGTACCTGTTATGGGGGGGGGGGGGGGGGCG